CAACTTACTTTAATAGCCCAAGCCGAAATCCAGATCCAGGAAGGGCGTCACCTAAAGAAAAGAAGCAAAAGGAACATTAATTACGTTTCCAAAGACAAAAAAACTCAAAAATAACCTCCCCAACTTACCTTTATGAAATCCAAATCCGGGAGGGCGTCTCCTAAAGAAAAGAAGCAAAAGGAACGTTAATGACGTTCCTAAAGACAAAAAAAAAACAAAAATTAATTTCCCCAACTTACTTTAATAGCCCAAACCGAAATCCAGGTCTAGGAAGGGCGTCACCTAAAGAAAAAAAGCAAAAGGAACGTTAATGACGTTCCCAAAGACAAAAAAAAACCCGAAAATACCCTCCCCCAACTTACCTTTATGAAATCCAAATCCGGGAGGGCGTCTCCTAAAGAAAAAAAGCAAAAAGAACGTTAATGACATTCCCAAAGACAAACAAAAAATCAAAATTACCCTCCCCAACTTACCTTTATAGCCCAAGCCGAAATTGAGTTCCAGGCAGGCGTCCCCTAAAGTAATGAAGTAAAGGAACATTTAGTGACGTTTCCAAGACGAAATTCAAGCCGTCCAAGTCGTTCCGAAGTCCAAGTCCAAGTCCGTTCTAAAGAAAAAAAGGTGTTTTTTTTAAAAAAAAAAAACATTTATGTTAAAAAAAAAAAAAAAAAAAGTTATGAATTTGACCAGATTATCTGATCAATCCGGTCAAACCGGTCATCCATGTAACATCCGATTAATCCGATGTTATCCAACGGATCCATCCGGATTATCCGCAATCCGTTCATTCTTAATCCGGATGATCCGTTTTTTGATCGGATCAGATGACGGATTGAACGGATTTCACCGGAGCACACCTCTACACTAATACTTATAAATGATAGGTAATTAACTTTATAGGAATAACAATAGATCAGTATAATCTATATCTATATAATAAATAAATTTTAATATAGAAAATAAATTTTTTTATAATAATGAATCGGTAACTGACATTTTTCTAATACTAATAAGAAATAAGTAATTAACTATCTTTAGCAATAATGATAGATCCCTATAACGGATATTTTTTTTTTTAAGATGTATTTTTCAATTATATAGATTAATATAGATTTTTTTAATAATAGAACGTTATGATGGTATTTTTGTTTTTTTATATCAATAAATTATTTAAAATTAATAATGTATTTGTAAACACATAAATAAATAATAAATTTTACAATACTTCAACATCTCCTTCATGTAATAATAAGATTTGCATCAAATTTCCATATATATAACACATCTACTTATCTATCTAACTAAAAAAATTTGTTTGACGTTTGGATTAGTCTCCGTGTAAATAATTTGAATTGTGTAACTTGAAAGTTGAAATCCCATGCCACATAATTAAAACCCGTGACATGCCTACCGCCTGATCCATTTATCATCAAAAACTATTCGATTCCAATCAACTAACCAATTTTTTTTTTTTTTGATTATTAATTTTTTTTGTCCAAGTTTTTTTTAACTCCTTTTTTTAAAAAAAATTTTCAAACCGAAAAAAAATTTTTCTCCCTTTTTTTTTCCAACCCGAAAAATTTTTTTTCTCATTCTTTTCCCGTTTAGGTTTAATTTTTTTTCCCAAACTGAAAAAATTATATTTTTTTTTATTAAATAATCCCCCATTCTTTTGGTCTTTTTTTTTTTATTTTTTTTTCGATCTTTTTTTTAGACCATATTGTTATTTTTTTTAAAAAAAATTTTTTTTTTCACTCTTTTAGATCGGATTATTGTCCTTTTTTTTCAGAATTTTTTCGTACTTATTTTTTTCGGATTCCTTTTTTTCGGAAGTTTCCCTTTTTTTTAAACTGATTTCTTTCTTTACCCTTTTTCTTCCCCCAAATTTTTTTTTAAAATTTTTTTTCTTTTTCTTTCAATTTTTTATTATTATTAAATAAAAAATAAAAAATTATATATTAAATATATTTACAAAATTATTATTTTTTTAAAAAAATCACCACAACATATCAAATATAGGAAAATTGACCAATGTTGATAGAAAGATGAATAAGATTTTTCAATTAAATTGAACGCTGGATAAATAGTTTGATTTTTCAAATTCCAATTAATTAATTATAAAATATGTAAAAATATCAATTTTTTTTTGAAGAAATTGTTGGTTTAATAATAGATTATTATAACCAAATCCATATCCGGAATTCTCTAAATAACTACCAGATTTTTGAATAAAGATTTTAATTCTGATTTAATTAAATTAAGTACCAAAAGAATAATAATAAATGAAATGAATAGATTCTATAAATACATTTAATTATTCAAATATTCTTTTTAAGTTGGTTATAAGTTTAAGATTCATGTAATATAATATAATAAGAAATAATTATAAAGTTTATAAATAATAAAAAATTAATCAAAAAAATGAGGGTGAATGAAAAAATAAGGAGAGTAAAATGGAATGAAAGAAACAAAGGGGGGAGAAATGAAATGGAGCAAAGGGGAGTAAAAGAAACAAAAGGAACAAAAAAGATCAAGTGGGAATGAAAAAAATGAAAAGAATGGAGGGGGACGAAATGGAGCAAAGGGAATAAAAAAATAAAAGGAACAAAGGGTAGTGTAAAGAGAAGTGGGAATGGAAAAAAAAATGAAAATGACAACGGATAGTGTAAAGGAACGAAAAAGATGAAGTGGGAATGGAATAAAAATGAAAGAGACAAAGGGTATTGTAAAGGAATGAAAAAGGCGAAGGAACGAAGAGGAAATAAAAAACAATGGAAAAAATGAAGGAAGGGAAGAATAAAAAGAGCAAAAGAGATGAAAAGACAAAAAGAAAACAAAAAAATAGAGAAGGGACGAAATGAGATAAACAGGGGACCAAATAAAAACAAAACCCATAAAACTAAAAGAAGAAATAAAGTTAGTATGGACCAGAAATTACATGTAATAAATAAACAAAAACAAAAAACTACTGTAACCATCTTTAATTTACTTAGTATTACATTATAATACTAATTTTTTTATTTAAACAACCTCATTGGTCCCGGTGCGAAGCAACGGGTGACTGCTAGTAATAATTAAAATTATGTGATTTTTCTATATAACAATACCATATCTGAAATTCGTGAATATATAGTTTACTGTAAAAAGTTTATAAAATTACAAATAATTATAAAAGATTAAATATGAAAGAAAAGTTTTATTAGAATAATTGTAAATAAATAAAAGAAATCAAAAAAATCAAAAATAACTTATATATTATTACAGGATATGATTAGCAAGATCATATTGAATTGAAAATAGTAATAATAACTGAATATTTAATATTTTTTTTACTTTATATTACATATATACAATATGTATATTTTATAAATTTTACAATAAACATTTTTATATAATAAATATAAATAATTATTTAATGTTAAATTTTATATTCATATAAACTTTTAGTATCATTTAAAATTTTACTAATATTACGACTTGTATAATATGCTTGTGAATGAGGTTGTAAAGTAGGATTATTAGTTTGTGTTTGTACTAAAGTATCATTTTGTACTAAAGTATTATCTTGCACCAAAGTATTATTTGCTTTTACAAATTCATGTATATCATTTTCTAATTCACTATCAATATCAAATATTTTATGATAATGATGATTATGTCCAACCTCAACCTCATTGTTTGTCATATAATCTTCATTAATATATTTATTCCATTCAGTTATTTTATATTCAAGTTCAGTTATAGTTGGTCTATTTTTTTGTTCTAAATCCCAACATTTATTCATTAAATCTATATAACATTTTGGAGTATTTTTTATAATTTTAGGACGTTCACCTTCACAAATATCCAAGATGAGGTTATAATCATGTGCTTTATTATTAAATGGAGGAATGCCTGATGTAAATTCCCACATTATCATTGAAAAACTATAAATGTCACTTTTTAAAGTATAAGGTTCGTTTCTTAGTATTTCAGGTGCCATAAAAGGTAAAACTCCATGAATTTCATTAGTTATTTTGTAATGTAAATTTTTTATAGGTTTACATAATCCTAAATCACTAATAAATATTTCATAATTATCTGATATTAAAATATTACCGTCATGAAAATCACCATGAGTTAAATTTGATTCATGAATTATTTTAAGCCCTAATATAATTTTTCTTAATAATTGTAATTTATCTTGCCATTTAAATTTAACTATATCAGATAAACATTTTCTCAAACTTCCTTTTTCTGCATAATTCATTATCATTATATAATTTAAATTAACTGGATTTTGACTTATTCCAAAAATTTGAGTAAATTTTGAAAATAATTTAGCTTGACAACCATAATGATTTTTCCACTATATAAATAATAAAAAAAAATGTTAAATTTTTATAAAAAAAATAAATTTATTATTAAAAATAAATACTATACCTCATACAGAAATTTACTATTTAAATTTGATGAATTATTAAGTGTTTTAAGGATAACCTCATGACAATTCCATCTATTCCATTGTTGTTTATCAAAATTCCAATTATCAATAGGTCCATCTGACCAAATAGCTTTATGAATTTCACTAAATCCTCCTTTATCATAATAATTAATTCCTGACAATTTATTATAAGGTATCCATTCTAAAACTTCATAACAATTTTTAGCATTTAGTTGTGCTTCTTGAATAAATCTATCAATATATTTATTATTGCTAGTCCATTTTGAAAAATTTTGTTGAAAATATTTAGAATTACATTGTTGACACCACTCATGATCTGTATTTATTAGTTCTTTGCATTCATTACATGGTATAAATTTATTATCATTGTTAATTTCTACTATTTTTTTACGCAAATAAAAGGCCTTTTCTAAATTTTTTTCTATTCCTTCATTATTTTTATAAATATTAATTAGATCAAGCATTGCTTGTTTATTATCATTTTCTGCTGCTTTTTGATACCAATCAATGGCTTTTTCTAAATTCTTTTCTATTCCTTTTCCATTGTAATAACAACTGGCTAAATTATTTATTGCACTTTTATTACCATTTTCTACTGCTTTTTGATACCAATAAAAGGCATTTTCTAAATTTTTTTCTGTTCTTTCTCCATTATAATAGCAATTGGCTAAATTAAACATTGCATTTTCATCATTATTTTCTGCTGCTTTTTGAAACCAATAAAAGGCTTTTTCTAAATTCTTTTCTGTTCCTTCTCCATTTTTATAGCACGTGGCTAAATTAATCATTGCAACAGTGAGACCATTTTCTGCTGCTTTTTGGTACCAATAAAAGGCTTTTTCTAAATCCTTTTGTGTTCTTAATTTATTATGATGGTAATATAAATCGGCTAAATAAAACATTGATGCTTCATTATTATTTTCCGCTGCTTTTTGAAACCAATAAATGGTTTCTTTTAAATTCTTTTCTGTTCCTTTTCCATATTTATAACACATAGCTAAATTATTCATTGCTTCTTCATTACCATTTTTTGCTGCTTTTAGATAACAGTAAAAAGCTTTTTTTAAATTTTTTTCTATTCCTTCTCCATTATAATAACAACAACCTAAAATCTTCATAGCTTCAATATGACCTTTTTCTGCTACTTTTTGAAACCAATAAAAGGCTTTTTCGAAATTTTTTTCTATTCCTTCTCCATTTTCATAACATACAGCTAAATTAAACATTGCTTTTTCATCATTATTTTCTGCTGCTTTTTGAAACCAATAAATGGCTTCTTTTAAATTCTTTACTGTTCCTACTCCATTTTCATAACATATGGCTAAATTAAACATTGCATTTACTTCACCATTTTCTGCTGCTTTTTGATACCAACAAAAAGCTTTGTCTAAATTTTTTTCTGTTCCTTCCCCAATTTTATAACAATTGGCTAAATTATTCATTGCTTTTTTATCACCACTTTTTGCTGCTTTTTGATACCAGTAAAATGTAATATTATAAAATGGAATTTTGAAAAAGTTTGGCATCTTAATTTTTTCTAAGTAGTGTTTAAATAATAGGAAACGAAACCCGATATGAGGTCCGGAATGCAAACACTGTATTTATATGCAAAAATATCAATAGAGACTGAACTCTAATATGCAAACGTGATCTTATTAATGATTTCATTAAGTTTCAGGTTTATGTTCAATTAACTTAATTTATAAACAAATCTGCAATGAAATTACAATAATTTTAAGTTCTTTTTATTTCAAACGCGCATCGGTTACACCAATAAAAAAATAACTATCTTGGTTTAACAATCAATAAACAGTCTTGTAGTACTACAAGCTCAACAACTTCTATCAAAACTATTTTTATCAAAGTCAAAATTAGTTAGACTTATTAAAATTAAAATTTTTTTTACAAATTTGTAATAACCAAAGTTCCATTGTCAATGAAATATTGGCGCAATTGTGTTACAGCATAGACAGATATAGGGCTTATCGGTTTCAACCGAATCATTCGGTAATTACCGATTGGTTGAATCATTTGGTAAATTACCGATCGGTTTCAGTAACTGCGGTTTCGGTATCGGTTTTGCGATTTACCGAACCGATTTACCGAGAATTTTTTGCAAAAAAAGTTGCGAAACCATTCTTTATTAAAAAAAAAAAACGTTTTTAACAGTAAATTAATGAATAGAAAAACGTTTCGCAACGTTTTTTTTTATTAAAACAGTTAAAGAACGTTGCGAAACATTTTTTAACATGTAATTTAACAAATAAAAAAACGTTTCGCAACGTTTTTTTGATTATTTTATAGAAAACGTTGCGAAAACGTTTTTGATTATTTTAATAGAAAACGTTGCGAAAACGTTTTTTTCATAAAGGATTTTGCTAAAGATCACCGGTGGTGATTTTCACTATTGAAAAATTTTTCGTTTGACGTGATTGATTTTTTTATGGTTGATTTTTCGTATTTATTTTTCTGACTAAAAACTTTACAATTTTTATTGTATCAAATTATCTTGAAAAGAATTATTTATTGTATTAAAAACTAAAAATATCTATTTATTGACGTATGTTATTATTGATCGCTTTATTGTAGTGTAGCATTAAACGATTTTGTGGCCTGCTTATTTCCTTTTACATTTTGTAATACATTTTTTTGGTAACGCTTTTTGTAACACATGATTTTACTTTGCGTTACTATTGTACACTTCCGTTTTATTAGTAATAGTGATACACAAATTTTGATTTATCAAAAGATACACGAAAAAGACCCATCAGACATATCCAATAACAACTACTTATGATTGTAGTTTTTTAGCATTTTTTAACCACATGAAAAAAAAAGCAACCACGTACTTAAGGGGCACAAGTTTTTAATAGCTTTTTAAAATTTTTATACTCGACCTAAATTCGAGAGTCAAAATTTGTATACACAACCAAGTCATACTAGCTGTTAAATTATTTGCATTTCGTTACGCGTAATCTGTTCAAAACGAATTCTATAAAAAAAAACTACGTTACTAAAAGGAAAATTAGAAGGCAATTCGTACTTGAAAATAAACTTTAACAGTCTAATTATTATTTAACAATCAGAATACTCATTCTTTTACTATAAAAAAAATTTCACTAGGAAATATTACAAACTTTATTATGTATGATTACACAAATTATTAAAAATCAAAATTTAGTTAGTATTTTAAAAGTATACTACCAAAAATGTTATCTTTGATTATACAATACTTAATAAGGCAACTTTATTAAAAAAAAGCTTATATCTAATTATAAATCTTCGTTACTGTCGATTTTTAACTAGCCATTTGGTTACTTTTTTGCTAATTATCTCAAAAACCATTAATTTCTTCTTAGCCTTTTCATTTCCTGAAATCTCTGGATAGTCTTGATCGTATGATCTCATTTTTTCCATATCTTCCTGAAATTCCTGAGCTATCTTAATGACTTTGGTCACATGGTCTTTAGTAATTCCTTCATTATTACCTTCGGCCAACGTTTGCGCTATATGAAGGATATTACGGATTTCACGTCCATTTAATTCATATTTAGAAAAATCATCTGCATTGAGATCCAAGCCAGCACCATCGATGAAATTTTTCCAAATTTCTTTCCTTTTCTCCGGAATGAGTTTTGGATAATGGAAACACATAGTAATTCGTGAACGGAAAGCATCATCAATACTCATAACACGATTTGTTGTTAAGAAAAGGATACCTGAAGAGGAGGGGGATAAAGGAAGAGTGAAGAAAAATTGATAAAAAATTCTCCTTCGTAAATATGAAAACAAGGATAGTAGCAATCTTTCCTACCTTGATAATATTCTAGATGACGTAAAAATATACCAGTCATCGCATTACGGTTTGTATTATCGTAGGTACGTTTTTCAAAATAGATATCAGCTTCATCAAGTAAGAGAACAGCCTTCCATGTAAAAGCAATATCTAAAATCTTAACTAATTGTTGTTCCATCCTTTTTTACAATAAAGAAGCAAAGGTAATCAAATAGTAAATCTCTCATAGAAAAATATTAACAAAATACGTTCAAAATATTAAATACTTTGCAAGATCCGTTCCAAGTTCATGCACGCCAATCGTCCATAATGGCCGTTCAAGAAATTCAGCTACACTTTCAGCTGTTAATGTTTTCCCGGTACCAGGTGGGCCATAACAAAGAAAGATGCATCCCTTACCTTTATTGGCAATGGGATCAAGTTGTTTTACTAATAGAGAGTCAGAAGAATTAACATTTTCAAGTTCTTTACTATTTGTCGTTTGGTTGCTGTACTGTTTCACTAATTCTAAAAGTACTTCTTTTTTATCCTGAGACATTACCAAATGCTCGAAAGCACTTTCATTAAAATTAATTTTACTGAAATTCATGACCATGAATTGGCCCCATTCCTTCAATGCAAAACTAAATCCATACACTAATGCAGGTGCGAAACAATAAGATTTCTCATAGTCATAGTCTTCGAGGTAACCCTTTTTACCGAGCAAATTAACATCACATGGATTAGGTGGTTTTGCATTGTCCATTGGATAGCCAGGATTCATGGTTGCAAAACTTTTGAGATCAATCATAACACGGCCATCAGCCCTTATCGCTTCTATCTCATAGCAACCATTCACCTTTATCCAACGAAACAATGAGCCCGTATACTCCATAAAATGTCTGTTGGCTGCGAGTTCAAAGAATTTTTTTCCAATACGATAAATGGTTTCCTTGAGGAAGTCGTGAGATTCAGAAAATTTGAATGGAACAACTAATAAATCAGAGAAACTTTTCTCTCCATTAAATTCTCGGATTTTGCGTTCTATATAACATTGCTTAAATCCATGGCCATCATAATCAACAACCTTAATAATTATATTAAAAAATGACACCTTTTCAAAATCTATCATTCTAACTACTTTTTCTGCTGAAAAAATGGTCCCACTGATTTGCTGATTGGACATAACACATTTGCTAGGAAACAATTTCCCAATAATAGAAAGTAAATTTATAAGCAATTTATATAATGGTTTGCAAAAAATGTAAAAATATAAATAAAAGCAAGGTGGAAAAATCATATGAACTATTTTAAAGAAACAATTTGTTTTGAAATTTGAAGAAGTACTTACTACCATACTTCCAAGTCCTTGGTATAGAATACCCACAACATGTCAAATGAAACTGTCTTTTTTTCTATCGTTTTATTTTGCTTTTCGACCGTCTCATTATATTTCTGTTTAAGGAATCGGATCAAGTGATTCAAGTGGCTCTTTTTTTCTGAGGATTAAATTTAAAGTCAGCTAATAATTATAGCTAAACGAAATCTATTGTATAAAATTAATTACCGGTTTCCATCGAAGGTTCAGATGTAGATTTAGATGCAGTCTCCAATCCATTATATAGGATTTCTAAATCTTCCATAACGTGATACAAATCCTGAGCTTTGATCTTGGGCATATCATCGTTAATGTTATCGTTATCAATGAGGATTTCTTGAAGGATTTGAATCAATGGCCGAGAGTATAACTCAACAAGAATTGTGCAAACATCCTTGTAGTTAAAGTAAATTATTTTAAAAATGGCACTGCTTTGTTTTTGAATTTCTTCAATTGAGATGATTTTTTCATCTCCCCAATAGTCTTTCATTATTTTAATACAAGGCCACTGCCAGTCTGCCCTTCGGATATCATTGTCATTAGCTAATATCGTGGTCATGAAGAAACGATAAGTGAATAAAAGTATTAAAAAAAAAAAAAATTAGAGAAAGCGTTCGAACACATCAACAATTAGCTAATAAAAATATATAACGACCATATATCGACTAATTAATAAAACCTGATACATACATAATATTTGAATTGGTGTTTTTGAGTTGTTCACAAAACTCTCATCTATTTCAAGTTCGGGGTCTAAGTCAACCCCTTTACCGTGCATGCGAAGGCATATCCTGCTAACATCAAGACTTGGTAATTCTTTTTTGATTACCTTTTTCAAATCATCCACGTCCCCTTTGTCAATGACAATTTTGATTGGACAATTATCTTCATATTTAACCCAGATTTTATAAGCCATGATAGATAAAAATTTTGATCATTTATCGTATTTCAGACAAAAAATTAACGCGTATAAAAATTTTGATCATTTATATAATTATAAATCAATAATATGAAAGGGGCACAGAAAGACTAAATAAAGTGTGATAAATAATGCAGAGCTAGTGTAACTTATTTACAATGGAGTATAAGAAATTATCCCCGATATCCCCGATCGGCACATTTACACAATTATGCAAATGTAGTTAGTTATAGCAAATTATTATACTATAATAGAAGGATTTGAAAATGTGAGTAATACAGAAAGATTTGCATTTTCCAATGAGAAAAACTTTCTTTTAATATATTCATAATCTCAATATTATTTTCAAGTGTAATAGTTCCGAAGCTTTTTAGAAATTTAAATCTTCTAAAATGAAAAGAAAACCAAGCGAAAGAAAATAAGATTCAACAATAAAATATATTATATTTATACTCACGATATACTATAAAACTCTTACTATTGTGTAAATTGCAGGAATAAATCAATTATATCCTGGCTAATTGGAATAGTAAAATTTGATTTGAAAGAATATGCCTTGCACAACATTAAGCGGCCAATCATTTATCCGATTCTAGTAAAATTTTACTTGTTCCTGGATATAAGTAATGCATATGTCGTACAGGTATAAGAGGATAACATGCATTGATTAAATAAAGTTAAAGTTTTGCATATTGCGGTTAAAAGAAAATTATTTGATAACACGCATATTTGCAGCTAAAAAAATTATTCATTAGGTCATGCTGCAGCTATTTAACATTCATTCATTGGTAATGTCAAATTATTTATTCAAATTCTAATTAAACACGGTTTTTTCAGGTTACGCTGGGGTGCAGTGCGCAAATAAAAATCACGGCAAATGCCGTAAATATCTTTCAAATATGAAAATTTAAATAAAAAATAAATATTATTATTGAATAAAGAATGAAGTGAATAACTTTTTTTTTTAATTTTATTTAATTGCCTAATTAATGTATAAAGGCTGCGCTCGGCAAATTCCCTGGGTGTAATCTGTCACATATTTCATTATTTATGTGACTGTACAACAGTTGATTATTTTGTACTTTAAAAAAAAAGTCAAAGGCTTATAGATACATGAATCTTTTCAATAAACTTTTATAGAAATGGCAGTAAGTTCTATAGAAAACCAAGAAATTATTATAGAAATATTTTAATTTAAAGACATAAATAGTATTTTAGCAGGTATTAAGATTGGCATATAATATGTAGATATATAGATCCAATTTTGGTATACAGCTTTTTTTATGCTTTATTTTGGATCAAATGTTGTCGCTCATGGGGACCGATTTCTGACCACAGATATTTTTCCAAATTGGCATTGCTAAATCTCACCGCAGGTGATTTTCACCACACCAGCATTAGCAAATATTAATGGGCGGAGTTTCATGCCATTTTTAATTCTGCCCAAATTCTACCCTAATTCTGGTAAGGTGACAATCACCATCGGTGATATTTAGCAATACTCTTATTAATATACCTTTTATAATAAATAATAATTACTTTATAGGTAATTTCATAATTTATAATTTAATTTTTTATTCATAATTTAAACTATAAAAAGAATCACTTGAAAATTCATCAGATAATTATTTGTTACTAGTATTCAGATAATTTGATATACGCACGAATAAATTGTTTTGATAATAAAAAATGGAAAAATTCGGAAAGAATATTTATGGAAAAATTTGGAAATATAATGTAAAATAATACAGTTCAAGTACGAGAATTTACCAAAAATGGCGTGTCGTCACATGTAGCGAACTTTTTCTTGTATATTTTGGTTTATAAAAAAATATTTATTTGATATTCCTTGTCGATTAGTGTAGCAATAAATCTTTTATTTCTTTTATTTTTATTATTTTTATTTGTATCCTTTACAGTTTATATCATATTTCTTTATATTTATATAACTGTTGTCATTTTAAATAATAAATTATTATTTATCTTTCCAAACGAAATAAATCTACCTTGTGTCGGTCCATTTATAGTATAAACAAAATAATCTAAATTTCATTGTGATATACTTTTCGTAGTGGAACTTATCTATAAATTCTGTCCTTTTTTCTTGATTTATATTCTCAATACGAATTAATATATTGCTTTTTTATATAATCATCATGAATATTATGAGATGATGATTGATGAGTCTTAAAATGTTTCAAGTAAGGCCAGATTTTAAATTATAAATGAATATCAATCAGTAATCAGAATTAGTTTTTTATAATAGCGGTCCTGAGACAAATTTATATCGCAATTGCATCTGTTAAATTTTTTTAGTTCATACTTTTTTCGTACTGTATAACTATTTAATCACTTCAGTTAACTTTTTTTTTTCAATTATTAGACAAAATTAGAGTTTAATAAGGGAAAGGATTAAATGACAAATTGAAATCAATAATATATTATTCTTTCCTAACCCAGTAAATAGTCATCGTCTGTAATTTATATTGTATTTATTTAATACGTGTATATAGTTAATTTTATGTACTAAATTTATGCCACTCAATAAAATTTAAAAAAACTATTTTTTAATAACGTACTAAATATGTTCCAGTTCGCCTGGTTTTATACTGATTATGTATGTTTAATTATGTACTAAATAATTAATCACTTGGTTTTATTTGTCACACGCTAAATTTGTACTAGTTGCTTAGTTTTATACTAGTTTTATATCTATAGTATTCGTACCAGTTTATATATATGCAATTTATATACTAAATTGTACCAGTTTCGCAGTGGTTACATTTATTCTTCTTCTGAAACATATAAGTGACTATCATCTGGATCATCGACCTTCTTATCTCTACTTCTAGAAAACCTACGCAACGATCTATCACACATCAATAAATTGTTTCGCACCATAATCTTTGAAAAACTTCATTCTCCATTCATCCTCTGAGACTTGGTGAGTTCCATTGAACATATGCAACAAATATGGACTTTTCTTTGTATTTGTAGTCGATAATAGTCATAATTTTTTGATATAATTGGTCAGTCATATTTGTATGTGACTTTATTTCCAATAAACGTAAATTTTTCATCTTCTTTATGCATTAAATTTTATTATGATTAATAGTTACTGTTAAAAATAATCAAATAAAATGCATGCCCTACTAATTTTATTTAAACTTGCAGCAGAATCACTTTTTATTGAACTAGAATCAATTTCTGATGAAGTACATTCGCTACTAATGATATTATTATCTATTTCTTGATCAAAGTTTTAATTTATAAATTGTTGATTAAAATTTTCATCAAAATCATTGAAATCTCTGTATTGATTATTAATAATTTGTTCAGATTGCTCTTTATATTTCATTCTATTGGTGTGTTCTTGTTGCTTTTGAAACTTTTTTATATCCATTTGGATATAAACTACAAGATTGACAATTACATTCTACAGTTGAAGTTTTTTCGATTTTATTTTTACTCTTTTTAAGTTTTTTATTTATACTTATATATACCATAGTCAATAGTAAATATAGAAATAGGATATAAAAATTATATAAAAATTAGATATAGGTTGGATTTAACAATCATATAATATTATAAATCATAAATCATTGACGTAATCATTTAGTAATAATTGTTTACTTTGTGATCATTATTAAACTATTTTACACAGTGAAATTCGATAAACCAGATCTATCAGTTCCACTAAAATATCCGGTTTATCGGGATATCCGGTATAGTGAAACAATTTTGATATATTAAAAATCTATTATACTGAATTTTTAAAAAATTTTCATGCTAATAAAACTAATATACACTATAATTTAATTTTTTTCATCTTAGTTTTAGGTCATAGAGGTCATAAAATGATTTTTAATTGAATATATAAGTAATACATAACTTCAGCCGGAATTAAATTTTTATAATTCTGGCCAAAATTAAGATTTACCGCATCACGTTACTCAAATTTTATTGGTTATTGATCACGGGATCCAGTTTATCGAATCATTTTTACTATAGCTGGTTTGAAAATTGATCGAATATCGAGCTTTTACTAGTAAACTCCGGTATATCGAAACTATTTTAACATACGTGATTTGGTTCCAGCAAAAAAGTCTAGTTTAAACCCAAATCCGGTTTATCGAAGATCCGGTTTATCGAATTTCACTGTGTATCTAACTCAAAGCAAATCCTATCTGAATGGTTGAATAAATGAAGTTGAAGACTCATGGCAAAATATCATTCCTAGTACACAATGGCCTGAACCTATTCAACACTTACAACTTGCTGTTAAGACTTCCAACTTATGAACAGTTATTATGTTGGTGTTATTTATTTTCATACAAATCCTAAAGAGTTATCTCGGGAAAAAAATAAACTCGCCGTCAGAAATCAGAACAACATAGTTTGCATTACGTTATGATGGTACAGTAGTATAAAGTAGTACTGTATAATTAGAAAGTCACAAAACATTCGACTATTTAGTTGATAAATCTCGATTCATTTTTTGTGAATGGAATATATATGTTTAAGCGAAGAAAAAATGTAAAATAAAATTTTATGTTCAATATCACACATTTATATATGACATTACTTAATAAGTCGAATTTTGATTTGATAAAGTCAACGTTCAATTCACAAATTATTATCGAACCAAAATTCATTAATGGTGATATGGTAACGTAAAACTCACTTTATTTTATTATTACACATATTGACTTTCGATTATAACAATCTACTTAATTCATCATATTTTATTCAAACAATAAAAAATTTATTATAAACCCTATAAAAAATTCTATCCAATATTTCTGTAGAAACTCAGTAAAAATGAGCCTTTCACGGATCCATTCACGGAAAATGTAAATAATTCGATAGGTCCCGTAATAAGGTTATTAATTACGGAAATATGAGCCTTAAAAGATAGAATATAAAAAAATTTCATATCTTTGCTAATTAAAGGAAAATTAATTTTATTCGATCTAAGGTACAACATCAAAACAATGTCGGACAACTTCCCGACAACCTTTTTCCCGACATACCCTTTGCCCGACAACGATTACCCGACAAGACATATTCCCGAATGTATATTTTACCGACATGACACATTCCCTAATAG